ATTCCCACCTCAGGGAGTACATCACTCACTTAAAAGAAAAAAAAATACTCTGTTAGAAATGAATCATGACTTCAATTTTTATTTTTAAATTTTTTTATTTTTTATAATTCTTCCCATTTATGGATGAATTTATTTTCAATTTGTTACATAAAATTATTTATAGCATATATGTTTCTTTTTCAGTTTATAATCCAGGTGAGCTTCTCAGTTCTGGTGAGTACAGTACAGTACAGTACAGTACAGTACAGTATAATTCACATTAAAACATGTGTTTGTGTGTGCATTGAATTAACATTAATTGTCAATATAAATTAATCAAGAACTTGTTTAAAAATTGTTTTGCTTTTTTATGAAGTAAATTTCCCTGATGCAAATGATCTCATATAATTATTTGCAGATTTTTAATTTATTATTACTATTGAATTTAATGTATGTGGTAGCATGATAGAAACAGAATGCAGGCTGGTATGTTACCCTTCTATATGGATTATAGAACATTGCAATGCTTGGGGCTGAGATAATCCCCCATGGAATAGTTTCTATCCATGCCCAATTGTGTGAAGTGAGAATTAGCCTCTATGAACTTATTATTTGCTTTCAGATCTCTAATAAGCTACTCGAAAACTTGGAAAGTCATGGGATTTAATGTACCTTTTAATCATAATTAAAATTAGAATAAGATTTCAGCAGTGTTTGTTTTATATACACAGACATGTTCCAGGCAGTAGCAGCCTAATGAAGAGATTCATGTACCTCTGAAATATGCTATACCAGACCGGAAATGATGTCATGGTGACACCCATCACAAGGGAATGAAGCTCTCTGTCACTGTGCTGGGTTCTCCTACCAAACAATCTACCAACCTCTACCTCACCAGGAAACAATTACTTAATAGCCATTAAAACAAAAGAAATCACATGGCTTTAAAGGAGTTTTCCAGTCCTAAGTTTCCTTGGATGGAGTCTTGAACCAAGTCAGCTGTGAACGGAGTCAGCTGTGATTCCCCAAACAGGATTCCCTGAATGGAGTCAGTGTGTTTCAGTAATTCAGCGTGTTTTACTCTGTTTCAATAATTCAGTGTGTTTTAGTCATCCTGTTACAGCCTGTTTCAGCGTGTTCCAAACCTACAGCTTTTACAACCTGTCTCACCCAGCGGATCAGATAACAGCAGCCATCAAAGTAATAAATCCTTCTCACCCAGTGGATCAGATAGCAGCAGTTAGCAAAGCAATAACCCTTTACTTGCTGATTCTTAATACTACTTCATTACTTTAATACTTAAAACACTGATAACTTCATTACCTCAAAAGTTATAACTTTTCTACCTCATGACCTATATCAATGATTAAATAATGATGTCTCTAATCAATTTCTATAAAATAATTAATTTATCAATGGATTAATTAATTGTTTTGTTTGATTAGTGTGATTAGAGTGTTTAGTGCAAATAGTGTGATTACTGATCAGTGTAAAAGATCAAGATTCATGTAATTTAATTGATTAGTAAAATTAGTGATTTAGTGAATTTAATTGACCAGTGTGATTAGCGCTTAGTATAATTAATTGATTAGGCTGATTGTTGCTTAGCAAAATTTGACTAGAGAGATTATTGTAATTGATTAATTGGTGTGATATTGGCTATATTGATTATCCAGATATTTTGTTTCATTAAGCAATTTAATCAATGTACCATCTCAACAAACCTACCATGCCAGGAAAAAAATCCAATGCCAAACCACAACCTAAAGAGAAAGAAATCCCCACCAATGAACCACAAGACTCCTGCACATGCCTTATATGTAATGAAACTCTAAAGGATAATGAAAATTCCACCAAATGTTCTCTATGTGACAACTATGCTCACTATGGCTGCTTGGGATTACCCAAACAAATGACTCAATTCCTAGAATCCTCCAACCATGCATTTCAATATTTCTGCCCATCATGCAGACCCAAACTGGACAAATATATCACCCTGTTTGAAAGAGCTGATACCAGTGGTGGGATTCAAATATTTTTACTACTGGTTCTGTGGGCATGGCTTATTTGGTAGGTATGGCTTGGTGGTCATGTGACTGGGTGGGCGTGGTCAACTCAATGTCACTCACATCAAAGGGTGTCTCACCTGGCCCTCCCTCCCAGCTATTCCTTGTCACACCCAACCCCAAAATATCTATAGTTCTGTAAAAAGGGGAAGCAGCTCTCCAGAGGACGCAAGGGGGAGGATAGGACTTATTGAACTGTTATTTGGGTCTCTTCTGCCATGTGACCTATGGAGACTGCCTTTTGCCTTATTGCAAGTATAAGAGTTTCTACAAATGCTCCAAGAGCTTCCAACCCCAATCAGCTTGCATGTTAAGTGGCAGAGAGGTCTGAGAGCACCGTCTTCCTTAAAGAATTGTTCCACTGAAATGGAATGAAGCTGCACAAAAGAATCCTGCAGAAAACTTGGATAATTCTGCTCTTTCAAACATATTTCCCTTTGATCAATTCCAAACAGGCCGTCCTTCAAAAGCAACCATAAACAATCCACTCTGGGAAGAACTGAATAAACTCACAAGCAGTTCTAGTCAGCAGTGGGGTGGCAGGATAAGGAAGAAATTGGGTGGTGTGCTCTCCCAAAGATCTCTGCCGCCTCACTCCAGCTCCCCACCGCCTCACACACACATGCACCTCTCTCTTCCTATTTTTTTCTTTCCTTTGTTTCTCTCTCTTTCTTTCTGATCTTCCTTTTTCTTCCTCTCCCTTCCTCTCTATCTCTCTCTTGCTCACATACATCTGGACTCAACTGCTCTGTAGGTCAAATGCATGGATCAAAGAAAATACAAAGTCCTTGTTGTTTTGATAAACAAAGTTTTAATTCCTTCATCTGCAAGGTCATCACAAAAACAGTCAAGCAAATAAAATTAAAGTCAGCTCTAAACTGAGTTCAACAACTCTGTATTTATAGTAATTTCTCCCTTATTACCCACCATTATCCATTATTACTTCTTATTACCTAATCACATTCATCATAGTTAATTCCTGTAGCCACATTAACATTGCTGTAACTGTTATGTCCCTGGAACTTAAAGAAGTTCCCACCCAGGTCCGTCCGCGCTGCGGGGGCAGTTGCCCTCCCTCTCATTGGCTGGTTCTCCCCAGCAGCCAGCTATAAAAGCAGGCTGCAGGGTCCGACCAGTTGCTGATCGCTGCGAGCCAGTTCCAGGCTTGGCAAGCACGTTCAGTCCTTTATTATTCTAATAAAGTATTGTTGCACCCATGCCCTGGTTCAGCCTCTCATTACCCGAACTTAACACTGGCGACGAGGATGGGATGGCTACCAGAGGCAAAATGCAACCGCTGAATCACTAGCCGCTGATCCACAGCCAGAGAGAACTATCAGCAGGCAGCGAGAGCGAACGCTGATCCGCAGCCAGAGAGAGCGGTCAGCAGCAACGAGAGCGAACGCTGATCCGCAGCCAGAGAGAGCGGTCAGCAAACAGTGAGAGTGAGAAGCGTCTGTAGCCGCTAGTTAGCCAGCTACAGGGAAAGTGTAGCGCTGCGAGCCACAGCCGCTCGTTTCCTTAGGCGCGAAATTCAAACGGCTGTCATTTGAATTTCCGCCCAAGAGTACAGCGCGGTGCTGTATTGCGAAGTCACTGACGCCCACGCAGGCACGAATTTCAAAACGCTGCCAACGGCCGTTGCAGCCTAACCTCGTGTTAATCCAGAGAGAGGGAGAGAGTTGTGAAAACCTCCCCTGAGCTGAAATCACTTGCCTGCCATAGGCACAAAAAACCTTCCTGCTGCTGCCCCAGAGAGATTTTCTCAACAGATTATCCAATGAGATTCTCATCATGAACTCCAACCCAGCCTTCCCATCGTTCAAGCCGGATGAGGAGAAGTGGGAGTCATACAAGAATCGCTTTAACCATTACATTGACGCCATTGGGCTGGCTGATGCAGGGGAGCACCGAAAAAAATCATATTTCCTGATCTACTGCGGAGCCATCATCTTTGATACTGCCACAGCACTCGTGGCTCCACGTGAGTTAAAAAATGTCCCCTGGACAGAACTGTTAGAAATCCTTACTAACCACTATTCTCCTAGACCCTCACAGATTGCCAGGCGGTTCACCTTCTGTATGAGGAAACAATCAGACAAAGAAACTATCAACCAGTACATGGCTGCCCTCAGAACTGCAGCACTCCATTGTGGGTTTGGGACCTACCTGGAGGACATGCTCCTCGATCAGCTAGTCTGTGGGGTCAAGGATCTTCACCTTCAAAGGTGCCTACTCGCCAGGAAGGACCTCAACCTCGCTCAAGCCGTCGAGGAAGCCCTGGCAGCGGAGCTGGCAGCACACTCAGCCACTGAGATCCAAGGTCCTGCCTCCAAACAAATTGCAGTTTCCGTCCACTCTGAAGAGGTGGTCATCGAGGAGGACCCCAGTGATGCAGCCGACATCCACCGCCTAGCCCACACCAGACAACCGCAGGTAGGAGCCAAGCGAGAAAGCATCAGTCCATCCAAGCACATCACCCTGTGCCTATCCTGTGGTGGATCTCACCTGAGGACCACCTGCAAATTCAAGGGAGCCACCTGCAACAATTGTCACAAAAAGGGGCACATCGCCAGAGTCTGTCTAGCCACTCACAACTCGGCACAAAGGGCCCCTTCCTTTTCACATTCCGGACCCCAAAGGCAAGTATTGAACTGTCGCACCCACCACCATGCTAAGCACGCTTGCCATACCATTAGTAAAATCTCTCTCTCCGTTCTATTAGAAGGTAAACCTTGCTGTATGGAGGTCGACACGGGGTCAGCGCTCTCAATTATCTCTTGGAGCACCCTCAAGAAGCTACAGCCCAGTCTATCCAGAAACCGGCTCCAGAAGTGCCAGCTTAGCCTGAAGGACTACCAGGGGAAGATCATTCCTGTAATTGGCAGAGGCAAGTTTCTTGTTAATTTTAAAACTTTCAAAGGCCACCTACCTCTAGTGGTAGTTAGCGGCAACCTCCCTACACTTTTGGGACTTGATTGGTTCCCCCACCTCGGCCTAGGGTTAACAGGAGTCCATGCGGTATCAACCTCTGACACTGACTCCCTATTCGCTGACTACTCAGACGTATTCAGCAATGAGCTGGGGTGTTATAACGGTACCCCTATCTCATTCTCAGTCGACCCCCAAGCAGCTCCAATCCGGTTGAAACCTCGTAGAGTTCCATTCGCTATTCGGCCTAAATTAGATGCGGAACTGGATAAATTATTAAAACAAGGGGTCATTGAGCCAACAGATTTCGCCAAATGGGAGACGCCCATAGTCACACCCCTCAAAAAAGACGGTAGCCTGAGAATTTGCTCAGACTACAAAACCACAATTAATAAGTTTTTACAAGTTAGCGCTTACCCAGTGCCCGTCATTCAGCATTTATTACACACTTTTGAACCTGGCAGCATTTTTGCCAAATTGGACATGTCTCAAGCGTATCAACTGTTGACAACCAAACAGCGGAACTCCAGACCATTGTCACCCACAGGGGTGCTTTCCGGTGCAAGCGTCTCCAATTTGGCGTAAGTGTTGCCCCAGGCATTTTTCAATCCCTCATGGAGCGGATTTTGCAGGGCCTCCCTGGTGTAGTACCCTACTTCGACGACATCTTAGTCTCGGCCAGGGACAGACCCCAACTCTTCCAGAGAGTTCGAGCAGTGTTAGAGAGGTTCAGACAGCATGGCCTCAAATTAAAAAAAGAAAAATGTGCCATTGCCACTAGACAGGTGGACTTTCTGGGTTATAAAATTGACGCCTCAGGCATTCACCCCCTGGAGTCCAAGGTTAAGGCAATTCACGAGGCACCCACTCCAACCTCCAAAGCGGAACTGCAGGCTTTCTTGGGGCTATTGAATTTTTACGCATCTTTCCTGCCCCATAAAGCATCTGTGGCGGAACCCCTGCACAGACTTTTGGATAAAAAATCGTCTTGGCATTGGGGACACAAGGAAGACTCCGCTTTTCGCGCAGTCAAATCACTACTCACGTCGGAGGCGGTCCTTATTCAGTTTGACCCCAACCTTCCATTAGTGCTAGCAGCGGACGCATCCCCTTTTGGAATTGGGGCAGTGTTAAGCCACAGGCTTCCCAATGGCTCCGAGGCGCCCATCGCTTTTTTTTCCAGGACGCTCTCTGCAACAGAGCGCAATTATAGCCAAATCGATAAGGAAGCTTTAGCAGCTGTCGCAGCAGTGAAGAAATTTCATGAATTTCTTTTTGGCCACTTTTTTGAGCTGGTCACGGATCATAAGCCTCTCCTAGGTCTACTAGCAGGTGACAAACAGACCCCTCAAGTCCTGTCTCCTAGAATGACGAGGTGGACTCTTTTCCTAGCAGCATACTCGTATAGACTCATACACCGTCCAGGTAAAACATTGTCCCACGCAGACGCCCTCAGCCGCTGCCCCCTGCCTGCTCCAGCTGAGGATCCTGCCCCAGTCCATGCTATCTTTGAGGTCACCCAACTGGACCTCCCCATCACTGCCCTTGACATTGCCGCCAAATCCAAGGCAGACAAAACGATCGCCCAGGTACTGGACTGGGTGAGGAGGGGGTGGCCGGGCAGTGATGTTGAAACCAAATTCACGCCTTTTAAGACCCGCCTACAGGAGTTATCCAGTTTGCAGGGCTGTTTGCTGTGGGGCACACGAGTGGTCATCCCGACCTCACTGCGTACCCGAGTTTTGGAGGCGTTGCATGAGGGCCACCCTGGCATCGTCAGGATGAAGGCATTAGCACGCAGCTACGTATGGTGGCCTGGCCTCGACGATGACATCATCAGATGGGTAAGTTCCTGCCATCCCTGCCAGGAATCCCGTCCATCTCCTCCAATTGCCACCCCCACTAAGTGGGAAAGCGCCAGCACACCTTGGTCCAGGATTCACATCGACCTAGCGGGCCCGATGCACGGCAAAATGTTCCTGGTGGTCGTGGACTCTTACTCTAAATGGATTGACATGGCACAATTATCCACAACCACCACGCAAGCGGTTACCAAGGTATTGACTCGCCTGTTCATAACACACGGGCTACCAGACTCTATTGTTTCCGACAATGGCCCCCAGTTCGCATCGGCCGAGTTCAGTCGCTTCGCTGCCAACCTGGGCATCCGCCACATCTTCACGGCTCCCTTTCATCCTGCCAGTAATGGATTGGCAGAAAGAGCCGTTAGGACCACTAAAGAAGCTCTAGCTAGGTTCAGCAAGGAAGACTGGCACCACAGACTCTCCCGTTTCTTGCTGAGCCAGCACTCAACCCCGTGCACAGTCACTAATAAGTCCCCGGCTGAACTCCTGATGGGTAGACGCCTGCGGACTGTATTGGACAGGCTTCACCCACATTACTGCCCTGACTCTACCCTCGCTTCCACATCGGGGGTTAGGCATTTTGTCTTACAGGAAACCGTGTTCGCGAGAAACTTCGCTGGAGATCCTCTGTGGATCCCGGGCGAGATCGTGGCCATCACCGGACCCAGGTCGTATCGAGTCAGACTGGAGGATGGTCGAATCTGGAAAAGGCACCTGGACCAGCTGCGGAAGCGCCAAGGCACTATCGTTAGCAGTGACTCAGGGTTGCAGACCAGTGCGAGGCTACAGCATCAACCCCACATCAGCACCAATTCCGGTGACCTGTTTACACCTGCAGCTGAGCGGGGGAGCCCAAACACGAACCGGGACCATCAGACGGCTGACCAGTCCAAACCAGTCAACGGGAGCACATCCCCAGTGACCAGCCCTACGAGTCCCGAACCAGCACTGACCGAGGAACGCGTTCGTGAAACCCCACCGGTCCGACCTTCCTCTGCAGACTCTGAACTACCTGACAACTCACCAGAGTTGCGCCGTTCTGGGCACCAGCATAAGCCTCCCGCGTACCTTAAGGACTATGCGTGTTCGCATCTGGGGGGAAGGGGTGTTATGTCCCTGGAACTTAAAGAAGTTCCCACCCAGGTCCGCCCGCGCTGCGGGGGCGGTTGCCCTCCCTCTCATTGGCTGGTTCTCCCCAGCAGCCAGCTATAAAAGCAGGCTGCGGGGTCCGACCAGTTGCTGATCGCTGCGAGCCAGTTCCAGGCTTGGCAAGCACGTTCAGTCCTTTATTATTCTAATAAAGTATTGTTGCACCTATGCCCTGGTTCAGCCTCTCATTACCCGAACTTAACAGTAACAAAAAGGCTCTCTCAATACACCCTGAGTGTTTATTGTTCAGGATCATTGCTGGTGAATTTGAATTGCCAACCTTCTTGATCAAGTCATCATTGGAGTTCCGTTGGACTTTTGTGTTGCGTGGTCATGACATCTGGTCTGGGAAGAGCTGAATAAACTCACGAGCAGCTCTAATCAGCAGCGGGGCAGCGAGATAAGGAAGAAACCAGGTGGCATGCTCTCCCAAAGATTTCTGCCACCCCACACCAGACCCCCCCCACACACCCCTCTCTTCCTATTTTTTCTTTCTTTCATTTCTTTCTCTCTCTCTTTCTGTTCTTTCTTTTTCTTTCTCTCCCTTCCTCTCCCTCTCTCTCTCTTTCTCCATCTTGCTGACATACATGCACACACACCTGGTCTGACTGGGAACTGCACAAGAAGGCAGAATGCAAACAGTGGGGCGGTGGCTGGACTCACTTTGTTTATTTTGTTTCCCAGCAGTTATGGTGGTGCTGGCACTGGTGATATTCCGAGAGGGGATGGGGTGGGCAGATATACTTGAGCTGCCACTGCTGCATGTGTGTACCTCCGCTGCCCCCTCAGCCTCAGTGCAGTGGAGATGCCCCTCAAGGACTGCACGCCCATCCACTGGCCAGGCTGGGATGGAAGCGGTGCATCCCCTGGGAGGAGGCAAAAAGTGGCCAGCACATGCAGCCACCATAGCCGGTCGCTTTGTTCACTTTGTGCCCTGGGAGAAGGCAGAAAGCGAGCGGCTACAGGTCCGGTGGTGCTCCTATGGGAGGCAGCCCTGGGAGTCCCCCCCACCCTCCCTTTTGGAGCAGCTCTTATCATGGGGTCGGACAGATATTCCTCCTGCATGGAGTCAGCTCCTGCACAGCCCTGCCTTCCCAGAACAGCAGCACAAAGCCTGCTTGGGTGGGGAGGAAGGAAAGTCTCGGCCCGCCCGTTCTGGCTGGTAGCTCTGGTCTCCTTGCTATTCCAGGTTCCGGCACACTGGCCAGCTCAGACATGGGGCATTTGATGCCCCGCCAACAAATACTGCCCCATCAGCTGCTTCTGCCACCACTGAGAGCAGTTCTCGCCCATCTCTCGCTGCTGCTCTTTTGGGGAGGCATGGCTGTGTGTGTGAACTACCACTGCCTTCTTACCTGCAGTGGTGGCAGGCTGGCCAGTGCACCAGAACCTGGGAGAGAGCAAGGGGAACAGAAGCACTGGCACACAGGTCCACTCCATTGAGCCCGCTGCACCAAAGGGACTTGCCCATGTGCTTTCTCCTTGCAAAAAGTCCCGGCCTTATGTGTGCACATGTGAGGTCCTGGGACTTCCTGCTAGGAGATGGTGTGTGGGCTACCGGCTTGGTACCAGCTAGCAAAGAGGCATCAATTGGGAGACTTCTTGCACCAAAAAAGAGGCAGCAGCTACTGGCGGGGAGCCCAGCAGCTCTCAGCCCTGGCTTGCCTTCCCTGGCAGCCAGCCACTGGAGGAAGGTAAGGTCGCGGCCATGGACAATGAAAGAGGCAGTCGTAGGGGAGGAAGTGAGGAGATTAAGGGCCAGGCCAGGGCCTCTGAAGGGGGGGGGGAATAGACAACGCATTGCACCCAAGAGAGAATGGGTGGCAAGTGGGTGATGGCTCCGGGGCAAGGCTGGATCTGGGGAATCATGCATTCCCCAACCCAGCCAAGGCAGCTGGCAGTTCCAGGGACTTAGGGAATAGCACGCATTTCCTGGGACCCTGGCCCCCAACCAAAGGTGAAGGCTCAGTGGGGGGCATGCATTGCTTACCTTTGGTGAGCTGAGCCGACTGGACATCAGCAAGGCAACTGGTGAGGCGATTAGCTGGGCCATGTGGTGAAGGCAGTATATATAGGGTGGGGGATGGGGTAGGCCGGGCAAGCATCAAATGGCTGGAAAAGATGATCGAGCATCTGGAAGGGGCGAGCTACCATCAGGCGACCGTACCAGTTTGGGGGCATGGCCAGCCAAAAGTTGCTACTGGCTCCACGACCCATGCCAAGTTCTTGGCACCAGGCTACCAGAATTGGTGCGAACCAGCTGAATACTACTTCTGGTTGATACCATAGAAACATGAATAACATCCCTTGACACCATAGTAACATCCCTGGACACTTTAAAAGAAAGATTAACTAACCTTGAAAAAAAGACACAACACAAAAACCTGAACAACCAATACAAACCACATCTCTACCAACAACCACAACCTAATCCACAAAAAAACCACAAATCCAACAAATAATGATATCCCGATCCTTGTCAGAGAAGCTGTTGAGCACAAATGGAAGTGTTCAAATGCCATCTTATTTGGTCTAGAGGACAACAATGACAATGATGACATCACAATTGTCCACAACATCATCAGTGACTATCAAGCATCAACCATCTCCCCTGATGAAATACTTGACATTTCCCACATTGGCATAGAGTTCACCAAATACAAACTAGGTGGATATGACCTCATTGATGATCCTCACTCTGTCAAGGACCTTGGAGTCCTGATATCAAATGACTTAAGCACCAGAGCTCACTGTAACAGCATTGCCAAAAAGGCATTAAGAGTTGTAAATCTAATCTTACAAAGCTTCTCCTCTGGAAATATCAAATTGCTAACTAGGGCATACAAAACTTTTGCCAGACCAATACTTGAATACAGCTCATCTGTCTGGAATCCACACTCTATATCAGACATTAATACAATTGAGCATGTCCAGAAATATTTCACAAGAAGAGTACTACACTCCTCTTTTTGCAACAGAATACCCTATATCACCAGGCTTGAGATTTTGGGCTTGAACAACCTTGAACTACACTGCCTATGGTTATATTTAAGCATAGCACACAAAATTATCTGCTACAATGTGCTACCAGTCAATGACTTCAACCACAACAATACAAGAGCACACAACAGAAACAAACTCAATGTAAATTGTTTCAAACTTGATTGCAGAAAGTACAATGTCAGCAACAGAGTGGTCAATGCCTGGAATGCATTACCTAACTTTGTTGTTACATTCTCAAACCCCCACTCCTTTAACCTCAAACTAACCAGTATTGACTTCACCCCATTCCTAAGAGGTCTGTAAGGTGCGTGCATAAGAGCACCATCGTGCCTACTGTCGCTGTCCTATTGTCCCCATTTATTTGTACCTATTTCCTGTATTCTTGCTCATGTTTATACTTATATCTATTACCTTGTAAGCAACTGACAAATCAAATAAATAAATAAATAAATAAATAATAAATAAAAATAAATCTTGTGGCTTGCCAGAAAATGTTGAGAGCAGTAAGAAGGGAGATGAGTAGTATTCTCTTAAGGGAAACCTAAGGACTCTGGTTGACAGAGAGCATTCCCTGGAGCGCTGCAGAGCTTTAGGTTCACTTGCTTATAGACTGAAGCAAAAAGGCAAATATGTAAATCAGGGTCCTCAAACTTTTTAAACAGGGATCCAATTCATGATCCCTCAAACTGTTGGGGGCCCAGACCGGTTGGGTGGGTGTGGCTAGGTGATCATGTGACTGGATGGGCATGGCTAAGTAGTCATGTGACTGGGTGGGCATGGGTAGGTGGTCATGTGATTGGGTGGGTGTAGCCAATTTATTTATTAATATGGATTTTTATGTTCTACATTTATAGTTTTATCTCACTGTTGTGAGCTGAGTGGCTATTTAGATTTGATAAATAAATATTTTTTTAAAATCTAAGGCTAGCTCTGGGAGTAAATACCTTTCCGCAGCCAGTCTCATCAGGATCTAAGGCAAAAATATTCAAAGGACCCAAAAGCTAATTTCAGCTTCTTTCAAAGCATTTGCAGGATTGATCTATTCATATGGTTATTCATAACTATTCTGAGCGAGATTGCATTGTTACAGATATTCAAATACCTGGGAAGGGAATGGAGATAAAACCTCCAACCACAAAGCCCATAAAAATCCCGATCTTGAGTAAGGGATAGACTGGATCACCTTATTTCAGAAGGAGTTTAGTGGCATCTTTTATTTTATTGAAAGCCGAAAGGCTTTGAGATTAGCACAGTCCTCATATAAACCCCTTCCTCATAATATGAACTCACTGGTCTGAAACATGAAGCAAATCTGTTCATTTAGTACAGGAAAGCTCTTTAAAGATTTGAAGAGAAAGATTCCATTGCTTCTTATTGTCCCTTCTGGCTAGACACCTCTCCTCCAACAGAGATCTTGTTCCAATTTTTTTAAGGAAGGAACATGTCTTGAAAAGCTTTCCAATCCAAAAGAATATATTATGATCGCTCTTAAGATTACACTATATATGTGTCCAAAGTTT